CCCCAAAATCGCCCCAAATTCCCCAAAATCCCTCACAAAACCCTTCGGGCGACCCCAAAATTCACAAAATTTGCCCCAAAATCCCCAAAATTTGCCCAAAATCCCAAAAATTGGCCAAAATTCCCAAAAATTTCTCCAAATCCCTCACAAAACTCTCAAAATCGTCCCAAATCCCCTCAAAATCCCTCAAAAAAACCTCAAAATTCCTCAAAAAACCTCAAATTGCCCCAAAATCGCCTCAAAATTGCCCCAAATCCCCCAAAATTCCTCCAAATTGCCTCAAAATCCCTCAAAAAAATCCAAAATCGCGTCAAAATCCCTCAAAAAAAATTTTAAAATCCCAAAATTGCCTCAAAATCCCTCAAAAAAACTTTAAAATCCCGAAATCGCCTCAAAATCCCTCAAAAAAACCCAAAATCGCCCCAAAATTTCTTCAAAAATTCCCCAAATCGCCTCAAACGGCCCCAAAATGCGACCCCAGGACCCCTAAAATCCCCAAAAAAACCCCAAAATCGCCCCAAATTCCCCAAAATCCCTCACAAAACCCTTCGGGCGCCCCCAAAGTTCCCAAAATTTGCCCAAAATCCCCAAAATTTGCCCAAAATCGCGAAAATTCGCCCCAAAATCCGAGCGCGTTCGCACCGCCGGAGCCGCCGCCGCCTCCGTTGCGTCACTTCCGGTCGCGCCCACCCCGGAAGCGGAGCGCCGGAAGTGACGGATGCGGAAGCGATTTCAAAATGGCGGCGGGGGAGAAGCGGAAAAAATCGCGGAGAAAAAAATAAAAAAAAAAATAAATAAAATTGGGGGAAAATGGGATAAAATTATCCGAAATTAAAAAAATTTGGGGCAAAAGGGACCCAAAGAGACGCGAAACCCCAAAATTGGGGAGAAAAATATCCCGGAAATGGGCGAAACCCCAAAATTTGGGAAAAATGGTCCCAAAAATATCCGAAAAACCGAAATTTGTGGGGGAAAGGACTGAAAAAATCTGAAATCCCAAAATTTGAGGGGAAAGGGACCCGGAAAGAGTCGGGACCCCAAAAGTGGGGAAAAAGGGTCCCAAAATACTCAGAATTCCAAAATTTGTGGGGAAAAATATCACAGATTTATCCAAAATTGCAAAATTTGTGGAGAAATTACCCCAAAATTCCTGAAATCCCCAAATTTGGATGAAAAGGGACCTGGACAGGCTCGGGATCCCAAAATTTGGGTGAAAAGGGACCCGAAAAGGGTCGGGACCCCAAAATTGGGAAAAAAGGGACACAAAAAAAAACCCAAAATCCCCAAAATTGGGGAGAAAAATATCCCAAATTACCCTAAATCCTGAAATTTTAGGTCCAAATTTCCCAAATTTGGGTCAAAACTCCCAAATTTCGATTAAGTCCGCCCCAAAACCACCCCAGAACGTCCAAATTTTGGACCAAAACCCCCAAATTTGAACACAAAACTCCCAAATTTTGGGTCAAAACCCCCAAAACCACCCCAGGACCCCCAAATTTGGGTGAAAACCCCTGATTTTGGGACAAAAACTCGAAAGTTTTGGGTCCAAACCCCCAAAATCACCCAAAGCTCCCCAGGACTCCCAATTTTGGGTCCAACCCCCCCAAATTCGGACCCAAACCCCTCAAATTTTGGCTCCAAATCCCCAAAATCTCCCAAATCTCCCCCATAACCCCCAAATTTCCCTAAAATCCCCCAAATTTGGGTCCAAAACCCTGAAATTTGGGTCCAAACCCCCCAATGCCGCACCAGAACCCCCAAAATTGGATCCAAATTCTCCAAATTTGGGTCCAAACCCTCCAAAACCACCCCAGGACCCCCAAATTTTGGGGTCAAAACCCCCAATTTTGGGCCAAAACCTCCAAAAATCATCCAAAACCACCCCAGAATTGCTGAATTTGGGTACAAACTCCGCAAATTTGGTTCAAACCCTCCCAAAACCACCCCAAATTCGGACCCAATCCCCTCAAATTTTGGGTCCAAATCCCCCAAAATCACCCCAGAGCCCCAAAACTTTGAGCCCAAAACTGCCAAATTTTGGGTCAAAACCCCCAAAAATCACCCAAAGCCCCCCCAGAATCCCTGAATTTGGGTCCAAAACCCCCAAACCAACCCCAAATTCAGACCCAAAACCCCCAAATTTTGGGATCCAAACCCTCCCAAAACCACCCCAGAACACCCAAATTTTGGGTCCAAACCCCTCAAATTTTGGGTACAAAGCTCCCAAAACCACCCAAAATTCGGACTCAAACCCCCCAAA